TCAAACAAATCAGCTCCTTGATGTCTTGATTCTCATTCCTTCCCTCCATCCATGCCTGCTCCTGCTGCTTTGACCCCTCTTACAGATCAGACTAGTCTAGAATTGATGGTCTTGGGTGGTGAATAAGGATGGGTAAACAGAGACAGTTAAATTGGAAGACTTTCTTAAGACTTTGGGGAGTTTTTACAAGTTTTCTTCTCTCCACTGAAATTCCACACCAGTGCTTGGATTTATAATGTGGCCTAGACCAATGTGTGGTTATTTTGCTTTTCGGAGTTTGTTTTTTTATCTTCCTAAGAGAGAATAAATGATAATGGAAAGAACTATTTAACAAGGTCCTGGTTTCTCTCTTAACAGTAGCTTGATTTGTCTGCTTTTATGTGCACCTTTGTAGGGGTCAACTAGGTAGATGGATTCTTCCCCCTCATGGGCAGTGTTGGTACATGCAGACAGATGACACCTTGGTCTCTTGTTTGCAAGCCCTTCTGCCTTCAATCTTAGTCTAAAGCCTGGCCAGCCTGCAGAGTATTGGTCTGTGTGCTGCAGCAGTGGGCATAAGGAACCATTTACCCAGAGGGCAAAAGGCATGTCCAGGGAATTAACCTGAAGTAATTGACAGGGTCAGCTAGTAACTAGAAGTGGGCTTTTAGAGAGAACCAAGATCAAACAGGTTTTTTAAACCATTGGTTGCAGATAATGGAAAGGTAGAGTTTGCCTTCTTCATGTCTACTCCCAGATAGTTATATCCAAAAAAGTGCTGTTTTGTCCCACTCCCCTACCCTACCTAGCCCCTGTTAAAATAGAAACAGGGGTTGACTTTTGTCCCACCCTGAATACATGTAAAATTTGTACAAAAATATCTTCTATGAAAATGATTTGTAATCTGTAGACTTGCTACCTGGAAGATGTGTTGAGATGTAAAATCCCATCCTTTGGGTTGTGGGTTTTTTGTTTTCTCCAAATAAATCTGATCTTTAAAGTTCAAAAAAAAAAAAGAGAAAGCTCACTCTGGAGAACATGCACTTGTTTTGGAGCAGGGAGATGAGGATTACTATGAGGAGGGTGTATCAGAACCTACTGGGTTAGTTTCTTGCTAACTATAAAAAACATTGATGGCAAGAGCCACTATTACCAGGGTAGCAAACTGCTAATACCGAGCAAAAATTAAGAATGTCTTTCCTGGATCAACCCTGGACTCACAGTGAAAAATGCCTAACAAGTTTGCATGATTACACTACTTGTCCTTTACTCAGGCATTTCAAAGCATATTTTGAGAAATCATGAGATATAAGATTATAATTAATATTATTTGCTTTTTGATTATCTTGTCATTTTTTTTCTTTTTTTCTTTTTCCCTTTATGTCTATTAGGGTTTCATACATAGCCTCCAAATTGAACTTACCAAACATCCAGGCATAATAGTTTCTAACATTTGTCCAGGACCTGTCCATTCAAATATTAGAAATAATTTGCTAACTGAAGAAGTCACAAAGGTAAAAATTTCTAGTAGTTTAATAATTTTAATGATTTACTAGTTATATGCTGGTGTTATATTATTATTCTTTAGTATTTTTATGTCAGAAACATTTTTCTTTGGTGGTTCCTGGGATTAGAACCCAGGACCTTGAGACTCTGGTTAGTATAGTTGGTAGATGCAAGACAAGCATTCTGCCAACTGAGCTGTATCCCCAGCTCATCAGAAACTTTTTTATGGCCCCAAATTTAACTGGCATGATGAAAATTGTTAGTTAGCTGGAATTGTTAAAGATAGCATTAGTATCAGTTTCAGTAAGGCTAATGAAATTGCTAAGATAACATTTATAAGTAGGCTGCCATTGTTTGTTTGCTATTATGTAATAGGATTTTTAAAAACCTATTTAGAAACACCATTTATCTTCTTTAATTTCATCTACATGGCATCAATTTTTTTCCACATTAGTTGTACATAATTTTGGGATTTGTTACCCGTTCATACATGCACACAATATAATAATGTAATTTGACTAGTATTAATCCCTAGCATTTCCCCTCATGGTCTAAATTTTTATGTGATTTCATTTGATATATATATATATATATATATATATATATATATATATATATATATCACAATAAGTTTATTTTTATTACTAAGGTGATAATTATATCATCCCTCTAAGATTAAGTAATTTTAATTAAAAGAGAAGAAACTTATCTTTTAACCAGCCCATATACTCTTATCTGATAAAACATATGATTCCTATTAATATTTTTGAAATATTACAAAAATAGGACAGGATGTGGCTCAGTGAATGAGTTAGCATGCAAAAGACCACAAGTTTGATGCCCAGCATCAAATAAAACTTAAATATGAAGTATTGCAAAAGTTTAAAATTACTATTAGAGTCTATGGGGACTTCTAAGGGAAATGAGACCTCACTAAAGGATAAACACAAACTTGTTGTTCTCTTGTTTTTTCTAACTTAAATATTTTATGAAATAGCTTGGGAAACTATCCAGCATTCACTTAATTTTAATTTTTTTCTTAGACTGTCAACTATAATAAGATTCAGGATCCCGAAATGGCTACTAGTCGTTGTGTACGGCTGATGTTAGTTGCCATGGCTAACAATTTGAAAGAAGTTTGGATTGGAGAACAACCTTACTTGTCGATGCCATATTTGTGGCAATATATGCCAACGTTGGCCTGGTGGATAATCTGCAAGTTCTGGGAGAAAAGGATTGAACTCTTTAAGAGTGATGTGGTAAGAGCAACTTAAATATTTCTTAATAATATATACCTAATTTATAGAAAAGTATGAAATCCTACAGTGAATAAAACTTTCTTGCTACCTTTCCACCTATTTCATGATATTAACATGAAGTGTATAAAGAAGTACTTGAATTGGAGACTATCGCATTAAGTGAAGTAAGCCAATTCCCCAAACCCCAAGGCCAAATGTTCTCTTTGATAGGCGGATGCTGACTCACAATAGGGGTGGGGCGTGGAGGGGAGGGGAAATGGGAATGGGAGATAGTAGAATGAATCAGACATAACTTTCCCTTGTTTATGTATAAATACACGACCAGTAGCTCCACATACTCCTTAAATATATGATGCATCAAAATACATTTTACATTCATATATAACTAAAAAGAACAAACAAAAAAATTTAAAAAGTATTCTATCCCCAAACATATCTGAATGTTTACTGTAAATTTTGGCTAGTCTTAGATAAATGACTTTTGTACCATTTGGTAAAATCAAACCAAAGTTTGCCATTTTTTCTTCTACACTTACTGTTTGATCAATATATGTGGCCAAGTGCTTTTTCCCCCACTGACTTTCCCCAGCAAGTTCTACCCATTCTACCAGTTTCTCAGGTCAGGGGTCACCTTCTTTTTTAAAAAAAAAAATATATTTTTTTAGTTGTAGTTGGACACAATACCTTTTATTTGTTTATTTTTATGAGATGCTGAGGATCGAACCCAGGGCCTTGCATGTGTTAGGTGAGTGCTCTACCATTGAGCCACAACCCCAGCCCAGGGGTCACCTTCTTGAAGTGATCCCTTGCCCTTCCCTCCCACCTCTCTTCAGGACTAGGTGCACCCTAGGCCCTGTGTTCTCTTCTGTCAAAGCACTGATTGCACTAGACAGGTCCATGCACACTATGTTGGCCATGCTCCTTTTACCTAGTTACTGGAGTACTCTGCACATCTAACATGTGCCTATGGCCACATCGTTGGAAAAAGCTGATTACTCTCTTTAGACCTCTTTGCTATAGCAATTTGTGGAGTGATTCATTAACTGATTGATACAATTGTGACCATCAGAAGAGTTTAATGTATCATTTGAACAGCAAATGTAAGGAGTCAATCTCAAAATTAAAGATTATAATTGTGCAAAGAAAGGTAAATGTTTTAGATGTATTTTATTGTTTGTTATTTCTTTTTGATATTTTGTTATTACCTTGATTTAGAACTCAGTGAATACAGATTGACATAAAAAAGCAGAATTATCAAGTAGGATCATACTCTATATGTCACTATATAATCTGCCACTATTTCAAGCAATCCACTGAAACACCTAATCCACTTGTTACACATTTAATTTGTTCCAACGTTTTGCAGGCCATAAAAATGAATTACTGGGGAAAACACCAAAATTTGACAAAATGCTTAGGGATTGTTATAAAATAGTTTCATAATGCACAAAAATTCTAGAGTTTAAAAAGTCATTAAAGGAGTTTTTCACTGTCTACTGCTTTGTAACAGGGTGCAATTTGGTCAGGGCCAAATAACTTAAAACTGTTTTGGCAGTGCTGGGGCTCAGTAGTACAGGATGGTTCCCTGGTAGAGCTTGATCAAAATTATACCTGAGATTTCAATTTGAGCCCAGCTATAGATAAGAGTTGGGAGGGAAAGGCCACCTTTCCAGAGAGGAAGCATAACATCCTGTCTAGAGCACAGAGCCTAGTGCTGGACTACCTGGATTCAAATCCCAGCTC